CCCGGCGGTGCCCGCCCCTCCCTGCCGCTGGGACGGGACGGTGGGGCTCACTCAGCCCGTGGCATCGGGCTGGGCTTTGGATGGTGCCTCTTTGTGGTCTCGTCTGGTTGCGGTGCCCTCCCGGAGCGAGCCTGCTTGTCAGGAGGCAGCAGATCCAGAGGGTGGCAATCGCTGCTGCCGGCTGCACAGCCCGCAGTGCTGAGGAGTTGTTTGTCTGGTTGCGGCAGCTGCTCCAATTTAGAAAGGGGAACCCGCCCTCCCTCGTCAACAGCTCGTGCTGGGGGTCACAGCAGTGCAAACAACGCTGCGGCGAGGTGGAGAGCAAAGGCTTCAAACGCATGGCGTGGGGGAGGAAAAATACCGAGAAGAGCAAACAAGTCCCCAGCCCTGGGGCGTTGCTCCCTGTCCCCCCTCGCCAGCGAGAACAGCTCCCGGCAGCTCCAGCGCCCGTTGTGTTGGGGCGCAGGAGGCTGCGTCCTGCGGGACACGGCGGGGGCCCTCGGGGACCTTGCTCCTCGCTGTGGTTCCGTCGCTGTCGTGTTCTCCCTGACGGGCGATCCCTTCATGAACACGCTGGTTTCGGCGGAGTCGGCCCATAGCAGGAGCAGGACTGCTGCGTGCTTGGGGATTTCCTCTCGATCGAGGGTTTTGTAACATTACCTGATACTATCGAATCTCTCTGACTAAATACAGCGTAGTGTTTCCTAAAACTCCTGTCTGTAAACTCGGAGCTGCTTGTTTCACCCCTCAGCCATGCTGCAGAAGAGGCCTGGGAGGCCCTGCCTGCCGGCCCCCTCGCTGCCTCTCTTCCCGGCGCCTGTGGGCACCCCTCTGATTTTGTGAGGGCTCTTGCTCTGCTATGAGGGGTCTGGAGGAGGGTCCGGTGCCAGCTCCTGGAACCCGTAGCGCTGGGATCCCCTCCCCAGCCGGCGAGGTGCGATAGCTGGACCCCGCGTTGGGTCACCATGACCAACTCAGTGGCCACAGGCATGTACCCAAGCAGTGTCTGCTGCCAGCGCGGCTCCCCGGATGCTCCGGCGTCTGCCCCGTCCCCCTCCCCACTGTGAGCACAGGAAATAACTCATCCCCACTCTCGGGATAAACATCTTTCCCAAGAGCGAAACTGCCCGGCCAGGACAAGCGCCCGGCTGTAATTTACCCTCCGCGTGAGCGTTGGGCCGTACCCTCCGCGCTCCACC